GTTCGATCCCCTGAGGCTGCCATTGGTTGAACGTTTTTTTGTGTGTGTGTGTTTATTCCGCTAAGTCCAAGGTCGGTAATTGGTAAGGTGCACCTGTGCATGTTAAATAGGTGGGTGCTGGTTGTATGTCATTTACGGGCTCACAATAGCCCGTGCTACACTTCGTTCTGAGTAGCTAAATCTAAAACAACAACAACTGGTTGTATGTCAGGTGGGTGGTGGTTGTATGTCAGGTGGGTGGTGGTTGTGTGTATGAAGTAGTTATGTGGTTGTTGGGTGGAAAGGTCTGGGATGTAGGGAGGGAGGAGCGGGGTAAATAGAGAGCGAGACAAGCACTTCAAGTCGATTGACACATGATTGACTGCAGGCAGGTCACACATTGTACAACAGGTGGCCTGCCACACTGATATACGACTCACCCCAGAATATCGTTGCTATATAATTTACACCAAACAAGACCTGATCTTCAAAACTGCACCAACCGCATTTTTTCAGGTCACTGGAATGGAACAGCTACAAGAAATCTAAATCATTCATTTTAGCAAATCCTGTAATCTTAGGAAAGTCTCTAAATAACGAACGTCTTCTTCATCACCGTTCCAGCACGACCTGGCAGACCCGACCTTCCAGTACTTCCAGATCGTCAAGCTGAGCGGACGCTGCACACTGGAGAAGGTGCCGGCCAACGTCTTCGGCAGCAGCACCTTCATGTTCGTGTGGTTCGGACAGACAGACGTCGTCACAGTTGACTCTGCAGCCTTTGAAGGTACAAGGGTAGAGGTGGGGTGGATGGGTTGATGGGAGGGGTGTGGAGGTGGGGTGGATGAGTTGATGGGAGGGGTGTTGAGGTGGGGTGGATGGGTTGATGGGAGGGGTGTGGAGGTGGGGTGGATGAGTTGATGGGAGGGGTGTGGAGGTGGGGTGGATGGGTTGATGGGAGGGGTGTGGAGGTGGGGTGGATGGGTTGATGGGAGAGGTGTGGAGGTGGGGTGGATGGGTTGATGGGAGGGGTGTGGAGGTGGGGTGGATGGGTTGATGGGAGGGGTGTGGAGATGGGGTGGATGGGTTGATGGGAGGGGTGTGGAGGTGGGGTGGATGGGTTGATGGGAGGGGTGTGGAGGTGGGGTGGATGGGTTGATGGGAGGGGTGTGGAGGTGAAGAGGCATATACGAGGAAGACAGGACACAGCCCCGCTCCTGTGCCAGGTAAGTCCACTACGGGCTCACCATAGCCCGTGCTACTTGGAACGTTTTGATCCCAGTAGCTGAATCTTAAACAACCACAACAATCCTGGGGGGTGATGGTAGTGGTGCAGCATCCAGTGACCCCCCTAAACAGCATCAACGTCGTCTGTTCCTCAACACAATCCTTCAATCACACAATATTTTGCCATGTTTACAGATTCCTCTCAAACCTTTCCTCTTACACTGTTGCCTCTACACACTGGCGTTCCCACACCACTACACGATAAGCATAATGCCACAAAAATCAGTAGACTGCCAAAATCAACCCCTGGCAGCTCACTGTATTTACTGATGTAAACCTGAACAAATGAAGTGTCTGCTAACCTACTCTCACATCCTGTATCATCCTATAATTCAACGTGGGGGGGGGGGGGGGAAATTACCAACGTTCATGAAATATCCTAAATATTTTCTCCAAAATTATATAATACTTAATATTTTAGCAGTGTCCCCCAAGTTCGCTCAGTGAAGATATCGCGGACAGCTTCTGTAATGGTGTACCCACCCACAGGATGGGAATGGGGTCCATAACTAACTTAAACTATCTAAACGTAGTAGAATTAAGCCACACTCAACGATATGTGATTCTTTAATATTCAAGTAGATACTTGTATTCTTAATACTTATATTCTTGTACTCAAAATACTCGTATGTACAAGTATCTATGTACTAGATACTTGTATTCTTAATACTTATATTCTTGTACTCAAAATACTCGTATGTACAAGTATCTATGTACTAGATACTTGTATTCAAGTAGTATACTTTTATGTAGATATTCACTAATATAATAAATAGGAAGATACCCATTAAGGATCTTATCTATATTAACTATCTCAAACCATATACCTAAATAAGGACTGATACAAAGTCCATATCAGCGGCCGATCAAGATATCACAGGTAAACTACAGGTAAGGTAGACCAGTAAAGTGGGTACTAATACCATGCAAAGTGTCATACAGGATATTAAAGTGATAAAGGGGCTGGTTAGTGCACTTGAATGTGGCAAAATGTAAGGTTGTGAACACGAGACAGACAACACACAGAACACAAGTGTTCACTTTATAATATTTCAATGTTGGTTAATAAATGCAGTTATAGCATACTAGGTCGCATTGTTCTAGTATGATATTGTTCTAATATTCTTTACATAATATATAAACATTATATATTATATATGTAATATATAATGCCCTCCCCCCCACAGGTAACGAAATCACTATGCTGGAACTGACCTTTGCTGATGCCAATAAGATGACCACCTACCCGTTCGAATCCTTGGGAGACCTTCAGTCTCTCTACAAGTTCTTCGTCTCCAACAGCCTCATCGACACCATCACTCACTTCGGCCCAGCCCCCAACCTTACCCAGGTGAGTTTCTGGAGCCCCTCCGCCCTCCACACCTGGAGGCCCTCCGCCCTCCACACCTGGAGGTCCTCCGCCCTCCACACCTGGAGGCCCCTCCGCCCTCCACACCTGGAGGTCCTCCGCCCTCCACACCTGGAGGCCCTCGTGGATGCTTGCTTTATTTAACTTAATCCATGCAAGGTTTACCTTTCTACAATCCGTCTCTGGCATCGTTTTCTTTGAAATACAACCCACCCCCTATTTTCTACAATCTAAATGGCAGATTACTGCACTTTAAAAAACGATATGGGATATATTTTGTGTTTTAAGTTATTGTCTTGTAATTTTTAATATTCTAACCATCACCACCCACACTGCTAACTGCCCTTACTGTTCCACGACCACACCATGGTAAACTACCTTCACTAGCCCCAGCTAAAGGTACCCCCATCTTTGCTGTTAATGGGCAGTCATCTTCAAATGTCAATCCCCCTTAATACCCTTCACCTCCCCTAATGTAACCCCCTTACTCTCACAACCACCCACCCATCCCTGTCTGAGTCAGCGTGCAGCTCTCTCACTCACTCTCACGTGAGCGTGTGTGTACACCAGGTAAGCGTGACGGGCAGCAAGGTGAGCACCATCACCCCGGGCGCCTTCGCAGACCTGGGCCGTCTCTCCCGTCTCGACCTCCACGACAACCCCCTCACCAGTCTCCAGGACGGCTGGTTCACCTCATCGTCCTCAGAGTAAGTCGCTCTCCAGCCGAAGAATGAGTTCATTGTCTCTTAGGCCTAGCTTCGCAGCTTCCTCCTCCTCCGCCTGTTGCTACTAAGAATTGCTGTGCCAAGTTAGCTCTGGCCTTTCATCACTTTACCACCGTCTAAGTTGATTCTTCATCTGCCCTTAAAACCCGCTAGTTATTACGCTGGGTTTTGTATATACTGAATTATACTTAGTAACTTGCCACAACATCCTGGGGGTCCAGCTTGTGCACTGGAGAGTACACAACCTCGTGCACTGAAAACATGTGCAATTCAGGAGATTTGTCAAGATTAGTTGAGCACAGTCCAGTCAGGCGGCCACTTCACAAGTCCAGCCAGTCGGCCAGCGCTCCTGTGCCAGGTAAGTCCACTATAGGCTCACCATAGCCCGTGCTACTTGCCCCGCTCCTGTGCCGGGTAAGTTACGTGCTCACAATAGCCAGTGCTACTTGGAACTTGTTCCGAGTAGCTGAATCTATAACAACAACAACAGTTAGCCACTCTACTAGCCATTCCACAACCCAGCCCCCTTCCTGTAAGGGAAGCTCAATCATCATCTTCAAGAACGTCTTCAAGAACCAATTAGATAAGTTCTTGCAAGCAGTGCCGGACCAACCGGGCTCAAGCGGGTATGTGGGCCTGCGGGCAGCTGCAAGCAACAGCCTGGTGGGGACCAAGTTATCACAAGTCGAGTCTGGCCCCAGGCCGGGCTCGGGGGTTGAACTCCCGAGACCCTCTTCAGGTAAGATCCCATGCCCCAAGTCCACCCCATCCCCCTGACACATTCGAACCCTCCCTTTCGGCCAGCCCAGAGTTTCGTGGCATTCTATCCAACGTTATTCTGGGCACGATAAAACATCTTGAATTGTCGGATCTCTTTTTTTCGTGTACAATTGGAAATAAAAAAGGAAACAACAGAATCGTGAGATTATTCGTATTTCTTTGCGGCCTTTGGGTGGTGAGGCGGGTGGTCGTTCGTGCTGGGAGGCGAGTGGTCGTTCGTGCTGGGAGGCGAGTGGTCGTTCGTGCTGGGAGGCGAATAACTTTAGAAAAGGGTCATTTTGCACATTCTGCCATGCCTTCTGGTCTCGTAAGGAACTATTTTAGTACATCAGATCTGGACCCAAACCTCTTCTCATACGTTTCCAGGTGTAAATTATTATGACACACTCTCGCTTGCGTGCCCGAGAATACAGTTTTTAGGATTTGATGTGTTGCTAATAATGTAAAAGGTTTAATTGAGCAAATTCTCCGAGTAAAAGTTATTTGCATATTCCCCAGCTCTGACACCAGCAGTTAATATCCAACAGCCTTCCACCCCAGTACCAGTGCCTTAAACATTACCACTGTCAGTTTATCATCCCTGGTTTGAAAGGTTCTTGTTATACAGCCGACCACATCTTGTAGATGTGGCAATTAATTTATGGAGTTCATTAACTGTAAAAATTTTTTTTTTACAATTGCTCCCAAGTCTTTTATGTCGACAACACACCCCCAACGCCTGCCCACATCACCCCGCCCCCCCTCACCACGACCCCTCCCCCTTCCCCCCATCCTCACCAATTACCAGTTAACACTCACCTCCGTCACCAAGCAACAGGTAACTTTCTACCACCAGCCCGCCACATGCACCAGTCCAGTTCCTAGTGACTCGTGACCGTTACATTGATCAACGTCTTGTCTGGAATCACGTCTCGACATCCAATCACATCCGCTTGACCCACACGCCCCCTGACAGAAGCCGCCCCCCCCCCCCCTCCCGTCACCCCGTCTCTGTCACCGGCTGCTTTACAGTCTTGAGAGAGCTGTCACGTGGAGTCCCGAACCACCACCTGATCTTTGACTCTCAGTTAAAATGACTATTTTCATCCCGTAGGACTACCAGCAGAGTTCCCATTTATCCCCCTCAATCCCAACAGCGGAGTCAAACTTTCCCTGTGAGTGACACGTGACACGTGAGTGACACGAGGCTGGCTGATACTCGCACTTCGCACCTCAGACTCGACTCATGGCGAGTGGCGCTGCTCCGTGGGGTGGGTGAGAAACCCCGGCGATGTTGTAGTATTGGAAGGAAAATATATTGAAGTTTTAGTGCCGTTATCCGCGACCTTGAGGCTGGCGCAATAACCGGATTGTCTTGGAGAACGTGGTACAAGTCGCTGGCCGATCAGGTTCATCACGCACGGTAACTGTGATCGTGGAAAGTGGTGACAAGTGCTGACGACCCCCCCCCCCGGGAATGGGGGGGGGGGTGGAGAGGAGGAGGAGGAAGAAGAGGAGGTGATCAGAGACCGTATTACCTCACGAAGAGTTGTTGATGATGGGAGGAGGAGAAAGGAGGGAAAGTGGGACGCAGGAAGCAAAATAATGGTCAATACCCACATTAATGGCGGTATTGACCATTATTAGCCATTACTGAAGAAATGGGGGGGGGGGGGGTTATCTGTAGTCTACTTCGGCCTTACTTGTCTCTGCAGTCCCACACAACCCGGACTGATCCCGTGACTCGTGCACGAACTTGTCAAGTTGCCTCACTTGACATATTTAACGTTCCTTCCAGCAATATGTCTTACATTTCCTGGTAAGAGGTTAAAAAGAGTAGTGTCTCTAATCTAACTGTATTTCTGTCATTTTACGTTGGTTGAATTATACACCCATCATACACAGTGTGTTGTAATGGTGTTCGGAATCCGACCAAGTATTTTCCGTGTGTACATTAAGGGATCTTAATCTCTGTGGTGCTGAGTGCTGTACACTGGGGGTAACTGTGTGGTGCTGAGTGCTGTACACGGGGGGTAACTGTGTGGTGCTGAGTGCTGTACACGGGGGGTAACTGTGTGGTGCTGAGTGCTGTACACGGGTGGTAACTGTATGGTGCTGAGTGCTGTACACGGGTGGTAACTGTGTGGTGCTGAGTGCTGTACACGGGGGGTAACTGTGTGGTGCTGAGTGCTGTACACTGGGGGTAACTGTGTGGTGCTGAGTGCTGTACACGGGTGGTAACTGTGGTGCTGAGTGCTGTACACTGGGGGTAACTGTGGTGCTGAGTGCTGTACACTGGGGGTAACTGTGGTGCTGAGTGCTGTACACTGGGGGTAACTGTGGTGCTGAGTGCTGTACACTGGGGGTAACTGTCTTGCTGAGTGCTGTACACGGGGGGTAACTGTGTGGTGCTGAGTGCTGTACACTGGGGGTAACTGTGGTGCTGAGTGCTGTACACTGGGGGTAACTGTGGTGCTGAGTGCTGTACACGGGGGGTAACTGTGTGGTGCTGAGTGCTGTACACTGGGGGTAACTGTGTGGTGCTGAGTACTGTACACTGGGGGTAACTGTGTGGTGCTGAGTGCTGTACACTGGGGGTAACTGTGGTGCTGAGTGCTGTACACGGGGGGTAACTGTGTGGTGCTGAGTGCTGTACACTGGGGGTAACTGTGGTGCTGTACACTGGGGGTAACTGTGGTGCTGTACACTGGGGGTAACTGTGGTGCTGAGTGCTGTACACTGGGGGTAACTGTGTGGTGCTGAGTGCTGTACACTGGGGGTAACTGTGGTGCTGTACACGGGGGGTAACTGTGGTGCTGAGTGCTGTACACGGGGGGTAACTGTGGTGCTGTACACTGGGGGTAACTGTGGTGCTGAGTGCTGTACACTGGGGGTAACTGTGGTGCTGTACACGGGGGGTAACTGTGGTGCTGAGTGCTGTACACGGGGGGTAACTGTGGTGCTGTACACTGGGGGTAACTGTGTGGTGCTGAGTGCTGTACACTGGGGGTAACTGTGGTGCTGTACACGGGGGGGTAACTGTGGTGCTGAGTGCTGTACACTGGGGGTAACTGTGGTGCTGAGTGCTGTACACTGGGGGTAACTGTGGTGCTGTACACTGGGGGTAACTGTGTGGTGCTGAGTGCTGTACACTGGGGGTAACTGTGGTGCTGAGTGCTGTACACTGGGGGTAACTGTGGTGCTGAGTGCTGTACACTGGGGGTAACTGTGGTGCTGAGTGCTGTACACTGGGGGTAACTGTGGTGCTGAGTGCTGTACACTGGGGGTAACTGTGGTGCTGAGTGCTGTACACTGGGGGTAACTGTGGTGCTGAGTGCTGTACACTGGGGGTAACTGTGTGGTGCCGAGTGCTGTACACGGGGGGTAACTGTGTGGTGCTGAGTGCTGTACACTGGGGGTAACTGTGGTGCTGAGTGCTGTACACTGGGGGTAACTGTGGTGCTGAGTGCTGTACACTGGGGGTAACTGTGGTGCTGAGTGCTGTACACTGGGGGTAACTGTGGTGCTGAGTGCTGTACACTGGGGGTAACTGTGGTGCTGAGTGCTGTACACTGGGGGTAACTGTGGTGCTGAGTGCTGTACACTGGGGGTAACTGTGTGGTGCTGTACACTGGGGGTAACTGTGGTGCTGAGTGCTGTAACTGTGTGGTGCTGAGTGCTGTACACTGGGGGTAACTGTGTGGTGCTGAGTGCTGTACACGGGGGGTAACTGTGTGGTGCTGAGTGCTGTACACGGGTGGTAACTGTGTGGTGCTGAGTGCTGTACACGGGTGGTAACTGTGTGGTGCTGAGTGCTGTACACTGGGGGTAACTGTGTGGTGCTGAGTGCTGTACACGGGTGGTAACTGTGTGGTGCTGAGTGCTGTACACGGGTGGTAACTGTGTGGTGCTGAGTGCTGTACACTGGGGGTAACTGTGTGGTGCTGAGTGCTGTACACGGGTGGTAACTGTGGTGCTGAGTGCTGTACACGGGGGGTAACTGTGTGGTGCTGAGTGCTGTACACTGGTGGTAACTGTGTGGTGCTGAGTGCTGTACACGGGTGGTAACTGTGGTGCTGAGTGCTGTACACTGGGGTAACTGTGTGGTGTCGTCGCCACAGGCCGTGGGTGCTGTACCTGGATGACTGCAGCATCAGCGACATCAGCCCGGGAGCCTTCTCTGGCAGCCTCCCCGCCGGCATCTACCTGGCCGGCAACTCTCTCACCGCCATACCTGAGGTAAGCTGCTCCTCTGCTCTCCCCACCAGTAAACCCCTATATATAATGGTTCCTATATGTCATCCCTTCTCTCTAAATATGCCATTACGGGCTATTCATGCCCGTGCCACCTCTTGGGTGGCTTAATATTCATCAAATCAACCTTCTCTCTATCTCTTCTTCTCTATCTTATGTCCGCCCCTCATCCCAAGAGCCCCCCACCTCCTCTCTCTCTCACTCACTCACTCACTCACTCACTCACTCACTCACTCACTCACTCACTCACTCACTCACTCACTCTCGAGGTCCCGTAGGCCATCATGGACTGGTTGAAGACAGACACTGATTATTTAGACAATCTCTAATTACTAATATAACTATGACGGATCAAAAATAAATTCTCAAGAAACATCGTCTTGAAAACACCCTGACCCTTCTTCCGCCTGGCTGACCCCTATTCCGCCTCCCTGACCCCCTCCCTCCACCACCCTGACCTCTCCACCACCTTGGAAACACTGGAAAATTCCTATCACGTAACACCACCCTGACCACTATTGTCCAACAATAGTGGTCAGTGGGATAGAGTTTGACTTGGACACAAGTCAAACTCTAATTGAGTCCACCCTGACCGCTGTCTGAGGTGGTTCCTAGGATCAATGTCCCCGCGGCCCGGCTCCAGCCTAGTCTCTTAAGTGGGCGGTGTGACTCAACCAGGCTTGACAACATTACATCTCAGAAGATGCTGGAAATCCCTGGCAGTTGAATCCACTTGGTGGGGGGGGGGGGAGGATTCCTTGCTTCACACACTGTGCTTACACTGTGCTTTATACTTTCCTCTCATAACTTCCTTCCTATCACCTTAATAATGACAGGAAAAAAGAATGCTGGATAAACTGAGGTAGATTTTCCTATAGTGTCAAAAAAACAATTTCATGCTGTTCCTCGCGAGAAGACTGGTGTTCAAGATGGAAAAGCAGGGGAAGATAACTGGGGAGACAGTGAACTAAGGATAGAAAGCAGTCACAGTCAGGTCTGTGATTCTGAGTTGGAGGAAGGCGGCGAGGGTCCGTCCTCAGACCTCTGCTGTTTCTAATTGATGTGGAAGGCCTACCCGAGGGAGTAGGCCTACCTGAGGAGGGAGGGGGGGTGAACTCGTATATGTCAATATTTGCAAACACAGAACTAATGAGGCATATCAAAACCGAGGTGACTTCCTCGTGGAGGTTCCGGGGATCGACGTCCTCGCGGCCCGGTCCCCGACCAGGATTCCTGGTTGGTCGTCTGGTCAACCAGGCTGTTGGACACGGTTGCTCGCAGCCTGACGTATGAATCACAGCCTGGTTGATCGGGTATCTTTTGGAGGTGTTTAGGGCCCCTTGTTGTCAATAGAGTTCTCCCTCAGCATACTTTTTTTGCACCTCTGCTTTTCAACGGGGGTATTCTGCACATCCTGCCATGCCTCCGGTTTCATGTGGTGTAATATCCGGATTCAGATTTGGAACCAGTCTCTCTCTAATATTTTCTACGCGTAGATTAATATGCATCTCTCCCGCCTGCGCTCTAGAGAACACAGATTTATAACTTTTAATCGGCCTCAATAATTTAGATACTAGTAAAGTGGATTCTATCGGTAAAGGATCATTGCACGCTCTCCAGGTCAGCAAGTTCTCCGGCTATCAATGAGGCTGTTAGTGTGCAACAATATTCCACCCAAGAAAGCACTACTGTCTTGAAAAGTATCATCAGCGTCCCTGTACCGTGACACGCAGAACGTCCAAGGAAGAGCCTGACTAACTCCAGGAGTGGGCAGACAAATGGTTGCTAGAATTTAACCCCCAATAAGTGTGAGGAAATAACAATGGGAAAGGAGGAAAGGAAACTATAGGAGGCATCTATACCACGAGGGGAAGGCATCTATACCACGAGGGGAAGGCATCTATACCACGAGGGGAAGGCAACAACACGAGTCGGAGAGATAAAAGGATTTGAGTGTCTTTCTAACAGTGTAATTCCATCCGTGTCTCTTGTGGCACGCACATGCAGGATAACATGGACAACACACGCAACGCAGGCAAGCCATAGAACGCAGGCAAGCCACAGAACGCAGGCAAGTCACAGAACGCAGGCAAGTCACAGAACGCAGGCAAGCCACAGAACGCAGGCAAGTCACAGAACGCAGGCAAGTCACAGAACGCAGGCAAGCCACCGAACGCAGGCAAGCCACCGAACGCAGGCAAGCCACAGAACGCAGGCAAGCCACCGAACGCAGGCAAGCCACAGAACGCAGGCAAGCCACAGAACGCAGGCAAGCCACCGAACGCAGGCAAGCCACCGAACGCAGGCAAGCCACCGAACGCAGGCAAGCCACCGAACGCAGGCAAGCCACCGAACGCAGGCAAGCCACCGAACGCAGGCAAGCCACCGAACGCAGGCAAGTCACAGAACGCAGGCAAGCCACCGAACGCAGGCAAGCCACCGAACGCAGGCAAGCCACCGAACGCAGGCAAGCAACCGAACGCAGGCAAGCCACAGAACGCAGGCAAGCCACAGAACGCAGGCAAGCCACAGAACGCAGGCAAACCACAGAACGCAGGCAAGCCACAGAACGCAGGCAAGCCACAGAACGCAGGCAAGCCACAGAACGCAGGCAAACCACAGAACGCAGGCAAGCCACAGAACGCAGGCACGCCACAGAACGCAGGCACGCCACAGAACGCAGGCAAGCCACAGAACGCAGGCAAGCCACAGAACGCAAGCAAGTCACAGAACGCAGGCAAGCCACCGAACGCAGGCAAGCCACCGAACGCAGGCAAGCCACAGAACGCAGGCACGCCACAGAACGCAGGCACGCCACAGAACGCAGGCACGCCACAGAACGCAGGCACGCCACAGAACGCAGGCACGCCACAGAACGCAGGCACGCCACAGAACGCAGGCACGCCACAGAACGCAGGCACGCCACAGAACGCAGGCACGCCACAGAACGCAAGCACGCCACAGAACGTCGTTTAGAAACCTAACTCAGGGCTCCTTCAAAGCAGCATACGCAGCTTTTCTTGGACCAATACTGGAACAACCGGCACCGGCCTGGAACCCGTAACTTGCGAAACATATAAATCCAAAACTAAACGTTACAAAGTTTTGCAACAGGATTATAGCTAGAGTCAAGACGGCTGAACTGTGAGAACAGGCTTAAGGGAACTAGACGTCACAACCATGAATGAGAAAAAATAAACAGAGGGGCCATGATCGCAACATACAAAGTACAGAGAGGAAGTGACCAGGTGTACAAGGACAGCGTCTTTCAAGTTAGCGAAAATAGGATTGAGAGGAGAAAAGTCGAAGCTGGAAACGCTTACGAGTCGAAGAAATGTTTAAGGGAGTTCTCGTATCCTGTACGGGTGGTCAACAAGTGGAACATACTGGAAGAAGTAGTTGTGGAAACCACCTCCATCCATAACTTTATGGCCAGACTCGACAAAGAATTCGAATGTGAGAAACGTTAGAAATATGAGAGAGAGTGAGAGAGAGAGTGAGAGAGTGAGAGAGAGTGAGAGAGTGAGAGAGAGTGAGAGAGAGTGAGAGAGAGTGAGAGAGAGTGAGAGAGTGAGAGTGAGAGAGAGAGAGAGAGAGAGAGAGAGAGAGAGAGAGAGAGAGAGAGAGAGAGAGAGAGAGAGAGAGAGAGAGAGAGAGAGAGAGAGAGAGAGAGAGAGAGAGAGAGAGAGAGAGAGAGAGTGAGAGACTGTGTGAGTGTGTGTGAGAGTGTACTCACCTAGTTGTGCTTGCGTGGGTTGAGCTCTGGCTCTTTGGTCCCGCCTCTCAACTGTCAATCAACAGGTGTACAGGTTCCTGAGCCTATTGGGCTCTATCATATCTACACTTGAAACTGTGTATGGAGTCAGCCTCCACCACATCACTTCCTAATGCATTCCATTTGTCAACCACTCTGACACTAAAAAAGTTCTTTCTAATATCTCTGTGGCTCATTTGGGCACTCAGTTTCCACCTGTGTCCCCTAGTGCGTGAGCCCCTTGTGTTAAACAGCCTGTCTTTATCAACCCTGTCGATTCCCTTGAGTATCTTGAATGTGGTGATCATGTCCCTCCTAACTCTTCTGTCTTCCAACGAAGTGAGGTTTAATTCCCGTAGTCTCTCCTCGTAGCTCATACCTCTCAGCTCGGGTACTAGTCTGGTGGCAAACCTTTGAACCTTTTCCATTTTAGTCTTATGCTTGACTAGATATGGACTCCATGCTGGTGCCGCATACTCCAGGATTGGTCTGACATATGTGGTATATAACGTTCTGAAAGATTCCTTACACAAGTTTCTAAAGGCCGTTCTTATGTTAGCCAACCTGGCATATGCTGCTGCTGTTATCCTCTTGATATGAGCTTCAGGGGACAGGTCTGGCGTGATATCAACCCCCAGGTCTTTCTCTCTCTCGGACTCTTGAAGTATTTCATCTCCCAAGTGATACCTTGTATCTGGTCTCCTGCTTCCTACCCCTATCTACATTACATTACATTTGCTTGGATTAAACTCTAACAGCCATTTGTTCGACCATTCCTGCAGCTTGTCCAGGTCTTCTTGAAGCCTCAAGCTGTCCTCCTCTGTCTTAATCCTTCTCATAATTTTGGCGTCGTCAGCAAACATTGAGAGGAATGAGTCTGTACCCTCTGGGAGATCATTTACGTATATCAGAAACAGGATAGGTCCAAGTACAGAGCCCTGTGGGACTCCACTTGTGACTTCACGCCAGTCTGAGGTCTCACCCCTCACTGTAACTCTCTGCTTCCTATTGTTTAGGTACTCCCTTATCCACTGGAGCGCCCTACCAGTTACTCCTGCCTGTTTCTCCAGCTCTTGTGTGAGTGTGTGAGAGTGTGCGAGAGTGAGTGAGTGTGTGAGTGTGTGTGTGGGGGGGGGGTTAGGAAGGTAGGTTTACAAAAGGTCAAAACCTAGACACATCACAATGGTCAGGAACGAGTCAGAATTCCATAATTAACAAGTAAACAAAGAAACCGAAAAAAACGAAAGCATTAGCATAATTTCTCCAACTCCATAATATACCATTATTGTAGAAACAATGTATACAAGAACGTCATACTCCAACAAGCAGCAGTAATGACAATATCCAAAATTTCTCACATCTGTTGCTGCACCGTAACCCAGTTTGTCCTTCGGAAGAGACACTACTAGACATTCTATAACACAGGACGACGTACACGAGGCCAGGCTCGACTTGTGATAACTTGGTCCAACAGGCTGTTGCTTGGAGCGGCCTCCAAGCTCACATACCTACTACAGCCTGGTTAGTCCGGCACTTCTTGCAAGAACCTGTTCAAGTGTCTCTTGAATACATCCACCTTTGTTCCAGCAATATTTCTAATGCTTGCTGGGAGGGTGTTGAACAGCTGTGGACCTCTGATGTTCAGACAGTGCTCTCTGATTGTGCCAATGGCACCTCTACTCTACACTGGTTCTATTCTATTAAGGTAAGGTTTTATCAAGGTACACCATTACAAGACAATCCTCAGGTAACCACGCCACTCTTCCCTTGATCTAGTTCCTTAAGGCGTCAATTACTTGTAGCGAGAGAACGCGTCCAGTTCAGTGAACACCTGACTATATCCGGTTAGTTACCAGTAAACCGGCTGCACAGACCTGTGTCTGTGTGTGTGTGTCTGTGTGTGTCTGTGTGTGTCTGTGTGTGTCTGTGTGTTTCTGTGTGTGTGTCTGTGTGTGTGTCTGTGTGTGTGTCTGTGTGTGTGTCTGTGTGTGTGTCTGTGTGTGTGTCTGTGTGTGTGTCTGTGTTCTCACGATGTATATAATAACGGACTTGAGTTCCTGAATTTTTTTAACTTCGTTAAATAAACTCCAAACTTTATTCAAGACTTTATGACCGTTACCTAATGATGTTGCGCTCGTTGTTGGTCAAATGTCCAGTGCCAAGTCTTTTTGAGCTTAGGTTCAGTTAATTTACGTTCGGTAAGTTTAGCTCAAGTTAGGATAGGTTAATTCTGGTTAGTTTTACACTTATTAAGTTACACGTGAACAAAGACTTTTGCTATATGTAATCTATAACCACAAAACTATATCTTTTTATTTAAATATGTTAAATCTAGTTTTTGTTTTTTTTAATGAGGCCAACTTGCGAAATTAGACTAACCTTGTACACCGCAAATATGGTCTCGTTATTATCAGGACAAAAGGCAATTTCACGGTGCAGTGACGCTCAAAATCAGCTAAGTGACAGGTTAATAGCAATGAGTATACGTGAGTGAGTGAGTGAGAATGAGGAGGGAGGAATGAGGATGGTGGGGGGGGGGAATGAACAAAGTCCAATGCTGACTAAAATTGCTTTTAAGCTTGCAAAACAGCCCCAACTCTCACGTTGACAAGCGGTTAAACATAAGTGGTTGTTTAACCAATAGCGTACAACACTAGACAAATCCAACTAAGCAATCACGGTCAATGCTCACTGGCCCGATAATGTGACAAACTGACCACTTGCATACAACGAGAGCAACTAAATTATCGATACTCTTGAGGAGTCTAAACTGAGGCAACTGATGAATATGGATGAGTTGTACAAACACCCAATTACATTGCCTTGGTCAGCGTTAACTTCTTAATATACACTCACGCCCACTTATCAGGCTACTAGATGAGACTACAAGATGACTTGGACAAACGGAAGGAATGGTCCAGCAAATGGCTATTAGAGTTTAACTCGAGCAAATATAAAGTAATGAAGATGGGTATAGGGACGAGGCCAGATACAAATACCATTTGGGAGATGAAATTTTTCAATTACCAGGGAGAAAGTGAAAGACCTGATGGTTGATAGCACTGGACCAGACCTGTCCTCTGAAGCCAACATCACGAAGATATCATTAACAGCATATGTTAGGTTGGTCAACATAAAAGCTGCCTTTAGAAACTCGTGCAAGGCATCATTTAGAACCTTGTATAACACACATGTCAGACCAATCCTGGAGTATGCAGCTCCAGCGTGGAGTTTGTATCAAACCCAGCACAAGACTAAATTGGAGAAGGTTCGACGGTATGTCATCAGACTAGTACCAGAGCTGAGGGATATGAGTTTTGAGGAGTGACTTCAGGAAACCTCACGTCAATGGAAGACAGAAGAGTTAAGGGAGACATGATCACTACATACAAGATTCTCAGAAGAATAGATAGGGTAGATAAAAACAGTATTTAACGCAGGTGGTACAGGCACAAGGTGACACAGGTGCAAACTGAGTATCCAAATGAGCCACAGAGACATTAGAACTTGTCCAGTGTCAGAGTAGTTAACAGATGGAATGCATTAAGCAGTGATGTGGTGGAGGCTGACTCCAAACAAAGCTTCAAATATAGTTATGATAGAGCCCAATAGACTCGAGAATCTGTTCACCAGTTGACCGGAGAGATGGATAGAGAATATGAAGAAAGAACGCAATTGCCCATGAACCAAAGCATAGGGAACTATCTAGTTTTTCAAGACCGAAAACTTAGATATTCTTGAATGACCAAGTTAATAACCCAACATAAACTTGGCTAAGCAAGCGCTTCCCGCGGTTAAGACATGACTGAATGAAAAAAAGCCTTTGGGTCAGAAACAAACGAAAAGTGAAGATGGCTGCGGTAGACGCCTGTGAAGACGCCCAGCGTCTGGTGATGTAAATGGGTCACATACTTCAGGCAGCTATCGCATGGGAAGGATTAGCAGCCACGTACTGTGACGACTTCAACATGCACGTAAATAATGTGTCCAGTTACTTGATCCACTAAACTGGGGAAGACTGTGTATAAAAGTGGCCCGAATTCCTGCACGGTTTACCAAACACGGGTGTACTGTCCCTTTAATTTATGCCGGTTGTCTGTTCTCCTCACTTTTTAGACATTGTTTAATTTCAAATCCAGCTGCAAAGCTGCAGCTGGATTTATGAGGTTCTCGCCTGTGAGTAACGTGCTTGACGCTTCCGTTTCCTTTCTATTCTCCCCTCCCCCAAGGAAAGAGGGGGGGGGGGGTAACTACATTCCCAGGAAAGTACCTGGGAGTACTTTCCTGAGAAAGTACTTCCACTTTCCTGTATTGTGGAAAGTTCCACAATACATGGCCTTCCTTTCCCACCTTCACAAGGAGGGGTGACACCTTTCCCAGTTGAGAGGGGTAAGAACCTTTTACCCCATTCCCCTGATGATAGCTTAATCCCACCTTCCCTCAACAGAGGGCTCTCCCCTCCCGAGGAGAGGGCTCCCCCCCCCCCCGCCCCCCAGCGACCCCTGCGCCCCCCCCTCACGCCCCCTTCCACTAAACAACCGCTCGTTTGCCTCCTGACGTGAACACCACAGCATCATGACAACAACGATGCCATCTTGCATCTCTCATTTGAGAGATTACGGGCTATTCATGCCCGTGCCACCTCTTGGGTGGCTTAATCTTCATCAATCTCTCATTTGGGATGCACTGACAGTAACCCGTCAACATGGTGAAGAAGAAAGGCGAAGCGCCGGGTGCACGCCTCGCTGGGCACGGTGACGACTCCTGGGTCAAGACCTTGACACAATTCCGCTCCCCGTCTCGCTGAGTTGACGTCATTTACACCAAGTATATATTTTTCAATCTCTCTCCTCGTCTACATCGATTATCACAAACCTAATAAGACACAACCTTATTCCTAATTGGTACCTAGATCACGAATGAACCTTAAACTAATCCCATATGTACTCCCCAGAGTAATGAGAGACTACGGGCTCGCCATAGCCCGTGCTACTTGAAACTTTATGTTCCAAGTAGCGAATCTTTAACAACAACAACATCCCCAGAGCATTCCTCTATAGTATTTAGTATCGCTCCCTTCCTTGGGTCCGAAGTTACAGCCCCGCTCCTGTGCCAGGCAAGTCCACTACGGGCTCGCCATAGCCTGTGCTACTTGGAACGTTTTGTTCCCAGTAGCTGAATCTTATCATCCTCCTCCCTGGGTCCTATACTTTGAAAGCCTGGGCGACGTGCACCTTGGTCACGAGGCCCCTGAGTGTACTGCCTCATGGTCTCTCGTCTCCACCCAACAGGCCACCTTCCTCCCGCTGCTGGAGAACATGGAGGCGGCAGCAGCGGCCGGCCAACTCACTCACTACATCGACTTCGACGGCAACCGCCTCGTGTGTGACTGTGGCGTGGAGTGGCTGGCCACCTCGACCACTCTGCTGCCCTTCGTTAGGAACGCCGTCTGCTCCAACGGCGACGTGTCTGGCACCGACATCGCTGACCTCCCAGCAGACTTCTTCGCCTCCTGCTAGGCCTCTCGCTAGGCCTCCTGCTAGGCCTCCTGCTAGGCCTCCTGCCAGGGCCACATACCGCGCACACCTCTTTCCTGAGGACTTCGAATCACTTCAACAGGCCGAGTTGATCCACCTGCAGCATTGTATTCATGAATCATCCTGCTGTCTTCTAAACAATAAATCATTAAGCAACAGAGCGTTCGTTATTCCCAAAATAAAAAGAATATTCTCAAATAGTAAACTCTTCACCGTTACCATTTAAATAAAGCCATTTATAGCCAAAATGTACTGCAAATCTACTACATTACACGCCATTTCCTTCACGACTATGTTCAGTGGGACTTTGCAGAGTGAGACGGCGTCACTGTGGTTGATATTAACAAGTGGTGTTTAGGGCTTATAGCCCCCAGGTTCCTCAAGCCCAGCCTCCGCCCCACCACACAACTGCAAAGTCATCTTTCGCTAATGTCATCTCTCGGTACCTATTGCCCTCAGGGGCTTAAAAAAAGATCGTGCTAGCATTATTTTTAATGCAATGTTGCATGTACAACATTGAGCCATAAACGCTAATTATATGTTGGGTGAATTGCAATGTTGGTAGCAGGAGGAGATATAGGTAAGGGCAGGAGGAGATATAGGTAAGGGCAGGACGAGATATAGGTAAGGGCAGGACGAGATATAGGTAAGGGCAGGACGAGATATAGGCAAGGATTGTATGGACACCTGGCATGCCAAGGACACCAGGACAGGTGATGAACAGGTGATCCCTAGGGTGGGAGGTACAGGTTTAATCAACACACCTGGTCATATATAATAGATTTGCACGCCATCTACCCAATATAACACCTGGCTCGCGTCTCTCACCCTTACTCCCTCACATTGTTCAATACACCCACCACACACCTGTCACTCACACCACCAGCCCACCACACACCTGTCACTCACACCACCAGCCCACCTCACACCTGTCACTCACACCACCAGCCCACCTCAAACCTGTCACTCACACCACCAGCCCACCACACACCTGTCACTCACACCACCAGCCCACCTCACACCTGTCACTCACACCACCAGCCTACCTCAAACCTGTCACTCACACCACCAGCCCACCTCACACCTGTCACTCACACCACCAGCCCACCTCACACCTGTCTCATAATATGCATGAGTACCTGGCAACGTTCAAGAAAAGCCACCAGGAATGACAAGGAAGGTCTTCCAGTATATTAGGGAGTACCTAAGCAATAGCAAGAGTGCCACATTGAGGGGGAGTGAGAGTTCCGAGTGAAGAGATGTCATCAGCAGAAACCCGCAGCACTCGGTCAGTACTACAGCTAGTCATACATCTACTAGCTAGTAGTACATCTACTAGCTAGTAGTACATCTACTAGCTAGTAGTACATCTACTAGCTAGTAGTACATCTACTAGCTAGTAGTACATCTACTAGCTAGTAGTACATCTACTAGCTAGTAGTACATCTACTAGCTCTATATGAACTACAACTAGTCTTAGTTTGAGTGTAAATCATCTCCCAGAGACATGCTTCTTCTCTTCAATGTTTCCTTACGATGCAAAAATAAACAATTAATGCACTGGAATATTCCGAGACGCTACAGACTGGTTTGGATAATTTATTGTTCAACAAGAGGCTATTAGAGTTTAATTTGAGCAAGTGCGAAGTAATGAAGCTAGTTGCTAGGAACAGAAGGCAATATGCAAGGTACTGAAAAAAAAAATTGGAACACGTCTCCAAACGCCCACATCCAGCGGATATCACTTTCACAGGGAAGGTTTGGCCCACAAAACAATTGCTTTTAGAAATCTGATTTTCTAAAATCAGGATGTACGCTACACATGTTCTAGACCAATTCTGAAGTATCAAGCTAATTAAGACAGGGCGTAGTAGCTACTTGATTACTCACCCGTGCCGGGTTTTTTGTAAGCTTCAAAAACCGGGCAGGTTAAAAAAAAACTTTTCCTTTGCTTTAATATGAGCCAACTTAGTTAATTTATATTTTAAACGCATTTTTTGCTATCCATTAAATACATAAAAACCTAACCCACCCCAATCCAGGCTGGTTGTGCTTGAAGAACAAAACTGTTTTTTTCTTACCATAACAGCGTTAAAGACAAAAAGAAGATGGAGAAAGTTTCGAAGTACGCAGTACCACAGACTCTACTAATGCCAGAGTTGAGGGATATGCTTGAGTTACCGCTCGTCACGGCAAGAAAACAAAGAACAATGAAGAGAGAGATGGTAACATCAGGGTCCCGGTTGTGCAGTGGGCTGCGTTCTCGACTCTTAATCGGGAATTTGGGGTTCGAATCCTGGCCGGAACAGAAATGGTTGGACGCGTTTCCTGTCACC